GCGAATTCACGTCTCCGCACTGCGCGCATTCGCATGCGTGAATGTTGAATTCTCCCGCCGCCACCGTCTTCCGGACTCGAGTCCGCCGCAGGGTATACCTCGGCTATGTTGTCTTTCCCTAACCCGTCCATCACCGGAGGCGCGTCGCCGCTGGCGTGTTCCTTATCCGTCGGCGCCTTGCTGGAGGCGCACATCCAGTCGGCGCGAATTACGCCGGCGCGTATTCGTACCGCTTATTTTGTCCTTTATGCCTCGTACATTGCTGACGGCGCATATCCCGCCGGCGCAAATCAAGCCTGCGCAAATCATGCCAGCGCATCCGGCCATCAGCGCCACGTCGGAGGCGTACATCCGACCGGCGCGTTTCTTCCGTTGCTCAGCCACCAAAGGCGCTTCCGACTTCGAGTTGATTTCCTCCCATGAGCGCGTGATTCCGCCGAAGGCGCATCGCCGAGGGCGTACGGGAGTCCTTTCCGGCTGTGAACCCTAGCGCGAACGGCGCATGTCCGGCTACGAGTTTTCCGACGCTCATAACTTCTTCGTCCCTGATCCATCTCCGACGCTCTTGGGCTCGTTAGAACGAGCGTCCCGAGCTCTTTCTAATGCAACTTCAACCAACTGGATCTACCGTGTATTCCGATCGTTATGAAGGTTTCCCTTTCCGCGCTAGCGGCGCATCGCCGAAGGCGTACTCATGGTCGGAAGCCTTCAGAGGTCCGGGCCGTTCTTTTGACGTCTTTAGCAAAATCTCCTCCTGGGGTGTCTGCGCCTGGAAGCGTAGCTTGCTTAAACGCTGGAAGCGCGTGAGTAGAGACACCTCAGAAAAGGAGCTTTTGCCGAAGGCGCTGAAGACATTGGCGTTGGTACATACGACCACGCGATTCTTCGTGACCTCGTGACGATCTCCTCAATCCACTCTATTTAACGTACCCTTTTCTAACTACAAACACTGTTTCGGTACTAGTTTTCTAAAATTGTTTAAATTCTGCAAAAAAAACAAAAAGTGTGTTACCACAGGTGTCATGTCAACGATCCGTTTGTTTGATAGTTTTAGAGTAAGTGTGCTAGTTGAGAATGACGCGTCAACAATACATGAGCTTGTTAGAGTTATTTTTCATGTTATCAATTCACTTGGAGTGAAATGTATGGGAGTGAGATCATATCTCATTGTACTTGTGGGTAAGATCTATCAAAGAAAAAGTAGAATCTAGATATTAGTCATCTTCATAGTTGTGTTTCATCTTCAAATGAACTCTTCTCTTGATCCTTAATCTTACAAGGATATGAAAGTTACTTTGATACTTCTTGGGATGTAAATTTTCCCTCATGGAATAGCAAGAATGTGATGATAGTATGTATCATTTGAAAATACATAATGGTTGACAAAGTTCATTGATTTTCATGTAAAAAGAGAAGGGTATAGAAAAACTTGTGATATGCAGATATGGATATGCATGGGAGAAATCTAATACTGCAATCATTGATCTTCAAACTCTTTGATATTCATTTTTATTTTATAGAAAAATGTCATTTTTGGATGTATATTGTGACATATTTGAGTGTAGATTTTTTGACTAGAGTGATGAGTTCAGAAATTCCATTGATATTATTGATTATTAGTTATGAAAAAACATTGGCAACATTCTCAATTGATTGATTCAATGGTTTTGAATCTTGAACTATTCACTCCGGTTTGATTTGATGCATATGTAGATTTTAGAACAACATATCGATAAATGAGACTATATTTTGATTTTATTATGAGTAGGTATGATGAAAAATATTACAACGTCATTTTTAGTTCTTGGTATTTCTTCGATGAAAGATTGGATAGATAACATCCAATTGTTTTTTTTCTTGCAAGTTGATGGTAGCTGAATAAAATTAACATACAGTAGAACAAAAGTCTTTAACCATTGTGTTGACAACAAACTACTAGAATCATTATTTGGCTAATAATGATTTTGTGATGCAAATCTATCATAAACCATTGCTTTTTTGAAACTCAAAATGACGTTTTTAAATCTTGAATTCAATGGACAGATTGATATTAATGCTTCAACATGAAAATTGTGTATGTGGAGGATAACAAATAACTTGTGAATGCTTTCACGCGCATGTCATGTTTTAATCCTGTTGCAAAAGTGAAGATTTAATTTGATTGATGAAACAAGATGACACATATCACAAAAAAGTATGAAGATATCATGCAAACACTACATTGTGGAAGTATATAGCAGACGAAAGGTTTATCATTTTAAAAATAATATATATGGATCTAGCAAGAGTAAGAGTTGCGCAAAATGATTTTGTCAAAATTTCATGATACAATCATTGCAGATCATGTGAGAGTGAAGAATACTGTAGAGAGCAACCAACAAGTTTATTATAAGCCTAAAATCTGAGAGTATGTGAGATCTTATGTTCAAAGTAGTGTGGCTTGTTGAAAAAAAGAAGTTAAGTTATAAATAATCAATCAATTTACTACAAAATCATTTTAGAAGAATATTGATAGTATGTTACATGAGTTATAAAAAAAATTGCTAGTAAATAATTCAGTTGTGATTTGAGAATAGATTAAGCAAGATGATTCACATCATGTAAACCACAAAAAATAATGAGGGCTCTGTAATTTGCTCAATTTTACTTAAATGCACTTTTTGCAAATCATGGATAAAGCAAAATCTTTATCATTGTTAGTGATATTCATTTTACTAGTTTGTTTTGGCTTATTTTTTTAAGTTTTTTCAAAACAAAATTAGCAATGTCAACAACTTATCATCATAAAATTGATGATCAAACAAAGGGAGCCAATAGAATGATAGTGTATATATTACGGACAATCACATATGATCACAACAAGAGTGTGATACTTTTTTGACTTTTGTGAAATTTGCATAAAATTATTTATGTAAACACATTCACAGAGATGATTCCATTTTATTTATTTTACGTCATGTACTATGCTCATTCCATGTACATGTACCAATCAAACACGACCAAAATAATTCACAAATCAACCAGTGTTATCTCCTCTACCAACATTGATATTTGATCATGAAAAAAATTGAGATAGAGAAGATACTCAAGAATCAGATCTAATTTCTTAAATATTACAAAATATAATATTTGGTTCAATGAAAAAATATATATCATATGAATCATTTGGGAACCAACTACAAATCCAACTAATGCATTTTTGATAGTTATACCAATAGATGTGCAACAATACGTAGGGTCTTAAAAGTAATGAGATTTGTAATTATCTTTAGTTAGTTAAAACTAAAGTAAACATTATTCAAGACAAAATTATAATTTTTTTATAGTGCATTATTTATAATTGTCACATTACCAATTCGTGTGATTGATAGGTAGAGAGTCAATGTGTTAGTTGAGAGTGACATGTAAACAATTTGTATGTTTGTTAGGTAGGGATTGACATCTTAGTTGAGAACAACACGTCAACAATTGGTTTACTTATTAGAGTTATCTATCAATACACTACAAGAAAAAATGTATGATGACAATGATATTATATTTGCTTGTACTTGTTAATAAGATCTATATAAAAAAAATAAATTTTTTAGATATCTCTCATTTTCACAATTGTGTTGCATTGTCGAGTGAACTAATTTTTTGATCCCTAATGTTAAACTTACAAAGTTTTTGACAATATTTCCATCTTTTATATATACCATAGAATGTCAACATAGAAAAATAATATTTTTGTGTTTCAAGGAGTCCTGCATCATCATTCATAACTTACTCCACATGTTTGATGAAGCAGAATGTCACTTTACATACCGCAGATGGCACAACATGACTCTGCACTCTGTTCTTTACTCCTTATGAACTCTTGAACGAAAAGTGATACTCAATCTCATAAATGGCAATTCAGCACAAATTGGTCATAACAAATCTTAGTTTATCACAAATACAAACATAGATGAACTATATAGCAATCCGACTTACATCAAAAGCAATTTCTTCATTTACTTATTTCTAAATCTTGGCAATTATCTCCATCTCAAAAGATATATTAGAAGAATTATATGCAAATAAGTGAAAACTCTTTCAAGAAGTATTCTTTCAGAAATTAATTCATGTTTTTTTTCATGCACTTAATTTCATGTTTTATGTAAACCATTTGAACAAATATGCAATACTCCTAAATGCACATATCTTTATTAAAAGAGAGTTGTTCACTAAAATTTGTTCTCAATCATGAATTGAATATCTCTTTGCATTGATGTATGATAGTACTATTCAGTATATCTATTGTCGTCCTCAATTAATAAGAAGAAGTGTCATTTGCGATAGTCTGATCTTCATGCGATTGAAAGAATCATGAAAGAAGAACTTATAATATTCGTCGCGACTTTCCAACCTTGTCTCTGATAATCCTACATTGTACCATAGTGTTAGTTTCTGGAATTGATGGTGCTTTTAGCTATCGAAGTCCGTTCCACCATTCACGAAATTTGTGTTTTAGGAAAATAGTGCATCCAATCTTGGACTTCACTGAAATAATATTAGATATGATTAATTTTATCACGTTATAATTTCTACATTGTCAGTTATTTGCTACTGGTTGTTCGAGCGGCATTCTTTGTTTATACTAAAATAAATTTTATAGATTTTTTTTATATTTGTTTTCGACCTCTAGTTGATACTGTGGTCATTCCTAAGATTAAAACTCAGAAGCATTTTCTTTTGAGATAAAATGGTAACTCATCCACACGTCAGGTAGTTAGGCTCGAACTCAGCCTCGGGTTTATCCTTGGCTCTGATTAGACACTCGTGCATGAGAGACTCTTGGACCGTCTTGAAATTAGTCTTGGACCGTCGTATTGGACAGTTGTATTCGACAGTTTCAACTGCAACGTTCGTGGCAAAACGGCCAGAAAGTCGGCCAGAGGCGACAACGGTCTTCTCGAGAAGAGGAGCCACGATGCTTCTAGACGCAAGGTACGCCTCCTCCTGGTCTCTTGCGAGTATAAGAGAGTGCGCAAGACACTTGAGAATGGGTGCCTCCGATTCTCATTCCGATTCTCATTCTACGCACAAGAATGTGTGGCTGGGCGGGCATCTTGCAGACCAAGAAGGAGGCTGCTGCAGTTCTTCGGTACTCATGCTCACTTTGACTTGCACAGTTCGTTCAGGCTCTAGATAAATCTTGCGCTCATACCATACTTACGCTTCTCTTTTTCTTTTTCTCCACACTCTTTTCTAGATAAAAAATTTGGTATCTATCTTGGAGAAAAGAGTCTGGGGAGGAATGGAGGGATAGGTTTTATTTTTGGCTCTCTTTCTATTATAACAAGTTTTGTTTTAATTGTTGTTGCCTTATGTTGCTGACAGAGTTTCAGTTTACTCCATGTACTTGCTTCGTTTCGTGCCTCTACTACTCTATGTCACTCGTGAACATGTTCTTACAGGATGAGCTGATAAAAAACCAAACGTGCTCTCCGAATGTGAAAAGATAGTCAAGAATTATCTTGTGTATTTCTTCATATCCGAAGAAAATGCGTGTACTGAAGACATTCCGATCTTAACTGGAGAAATGTACGAATTCTTAGATTGGACATCGGAGATTCTATATTGGGGGACAGTGAGATAACGCAGAGTTTGATATTGATTTCTTTGAGAACAAAATCGAGGCTAAGTCCTTCGACCCTTAAGGTCGAAGGACTTAGCCTCGATTTTGTTCATGAATGGTTGGACCGCGACAACTACAAGACAGGAAGACTTCTTCAGTCTTCAGTGGGAAGAATATTGCGTAGTCAAGGGAGAACTATACTTCAGCATGCCGCGAATGGAGAATATAATCATTTTTGCTTGCTTACTTTATTCATTTCACAACTTTGGTTCATTTCACAAGTTTCATATGGTTAGCCACAGTATTCCCTATGTAGTTTTGCTAACAACCTTCGAATGTTGTTTCTTCCAGGATTCCATTTACGCTGATGCGACAATGGAATCCTAATATCATTGGTCGCATCAAATGATCGTATTTCACGTAACGATGAGGATCAACGTTACGTGAAATATTGATAAATTTGTACATTGGTGGGTCTAGTAAGGCTCACAGTGAGTTAGGCGGGTGACGTGCTATTCGGAACGAGTAGCAAGAACTGCGCAGTCAAGGGGCAGCGTGCTTGAATGCTCGATCATCCGACCGATGGCACACCATCACTCTGATAATCTCTTTGATCATTAATAGCGTGCAAAAGTTCAGGGATAGGTAAAACTCAGAGTAAACTCCGTTTTTAGTTTTTTTATCTATCTCTGAACTCTTGCATGCAATCAATGATCAAAAGATTGCACCGAAAGCACCCCTGCAAGTAAAGCTGGATTCACGAAGAGAGTGAAGTATATGAGTTTTAGTTAACTTTAATACATTTCTTTCTTTCTTCCTCATGAAATTGTAGGAAACTATATCGTGTTGAAAACAAAGTAAAAAAGGTTACTATAGACAAATACTATCTATCGGTTTCAGATTCTTTCTTCAGCCATTAGTGCGTGATGTAGTTGATCCACGGAAGGACATTATGTACATCAAAACATCTTGTCACTATCTATATGTGGTAAAACTAATGAATATCTTTGAATACGGCCTCACTGAGAGCACCAAACGAGAAACATTAACGCAAGTTTCTTACAGGGTAAATAACGCATGCGTTTTTAGGGGACCTCTCTCATCTGGCTAGTGCATGTGGAAGGGATATCCTCTTGAGCGCGGAGCTTATGGCCTCGGATCCTCCGCGGAAGCAAGAGGAGTCGGGAGATTGAAGCGGGCGACCGAGCAGCGATCACTTCTCTCTTCGCAGTCCAGGGACAGCATGCTTGAATGCTTGCCTGAGATCATCCGACGTGAGCAGCCTCTCTATGCCTTTCTTTTGGGAGCGATTATAACAACCCATAACCTTAAGATTTTGTGTAGAAATTATTCCATGTTTGGAGTCTACCAAGCTTGGTAGACTAAGCTTGGTAGGCATAGTTAAGTCAAACTAAACATTTTCCCATCTTTTGGGGGTACTTTGAAAACATAGACGAGTATTATGTAGATCTATGGATTGTTACAGTCCAGTATTGCCGCAGCGTGTTATGCATCTTATCTCTTATATTAGCACACTGTGAATGGTCCAGTAGCTCAATGCAAGAGACTTCCAACTTCGGATTTGTGCTGCGGGTTCAAGTCCTGCCTGAGCTCCAACATTGCTGGTTTTTGTTATGGAAAGATATCCAACAATAGTGCAAATTAATGATTCGGTGCACTTTTTAGTCCCGGAGTATCTTATCTTTCTGTCATTCTGTTCTCTTCATGTGCATGGCACAGAAGCTCAATGCGAGAGCCTTCCAACTGTGTATTTGTGCTGTTCGAGTTCTGCCTGGTCTGCAATATTTTTGGTGTCTGTTATCAAAACACAAGCGAATGTAATTTAGCTTCATCAACTCTTGCACTTTAGTCCCGGACTATGAGATCTTTTTGTATTCAATCATCACGTCTTTCTATGAATGGATGGACCAGTAGCTTAAAGCAAGCGCCTTTCAAGAAGTGAATCTGTGCTGCGGGTTTAAGACCTGCCTGGGCTCTGATCATGTTGGTGTCTGTTATGAGAAAAGCACCGAATTGGTTTAAATTTTTTTTCACTTTTACAGTCCATCAGTGCCAGATCTGACCTATTGAATAGGTCAGATCTGGAAATAGGTCCTATTTCCAGCGGAGGGGTCTCCAAAAATGACAATAATAATGGAACATATCGAGTGCCGGATCATAGTTTCATGGCTGAATCATCTCCATACTGACCATACCTGATACACTTAATTGGAGTAAGCATCGTATCCCATACTCCCATGCTGGGAATTTATACTTGTGTTTCAAGGAATCTCTCTCCAGGCCGTGCCCACTCCCGATCTTTCTAATATATTTCTCTGGAAGGTTCTTTCTAAAACTCTCTGGAAACTTCCATCACACAAGAGGTGCTCATTTCTCGAATTCGAAGAGACAAATTTCAAATCATCTGACTATGTTAACGATGACTGTCTTTTCCGTGGGATCTTTTACATCTTAAGATTGAAACCTGGATATACTTGCAAATCTGAACAGTGGTTGTTGACACCGTAGTCTTCAATTCATGGAAGAAATTGTTTTGATAAGCAGTGTTCTTTTGCCAGTGCCGAGTGTATGGATGAAGCCTAAAGCATGCGTAAGTCACCTTGGATGCTACTTACAGTTTGCCAAGCAGTTAGCAAGTCATGGGATGGCGGTCACACCCTTCTTGTGGTACCCCACTTTTGGCAATTTTGAGGAAATTAAAACATTTTTGGAAAACTGTACCCTGGCAGCATTGTAAATAGCCTTCGGTACATCAAAACGGAGTGAATCCGGAAGATCGCGGGGACTCTCGAGGGATCTTGTAGAATCTGGGATTTGGGGTGCAGCAGTAAGGACAGGCACCACCCTCCCTGCGAGCTCTGCAGTTAGGACCCCTACGACGCAAGGCGCAAAACCCGCCTTCGGAGGTTGCGTCCGCGGCTGTAGGGAAACCTTCCATAATTAGTTCAACCCTCGGGCGCCTTGACCAAGTTAGGGTCCCGCTGGAAAAAGCTCGACGCACTGATTCCAACGAGCCCAAGAACGCTTGGAACGGATGAGGACTTAGGGAGTTATCACTATTGGAAGAAACGGAGGCGGTCGCCTACGGCGGAAGGAGTTCGCCACCGGCGCGAATTCCGCCTACGCCGAAGGGGGAATCAAGTTTTGTCCTATGCGCGGACGAAGGCGTTCGCCTGTGCACAGGCGAAGTAGGGTTAGGCGAGGCGCGAAGTCCGCCTACGCACAGGCGCTCGCCTGTGCACAGGCGCTTCGGCGTCGGCGGAAAAACCGCCTTGGGCCCTAGAAATGCGCCTTGTGAGGTAGAAAGTGTACGGCGCCTTCCGCGCCAGCGCAGCGTCGCGTACGGCGGAAGAGCCGCCAGAGTAATCAAATCGGTACGGACTATGCGGACGGGAAGGGTGGATGCGCTCTTGGACGGACGGAGTTGCGGCGGCGGAAGCGCCGACGAAGAGACAAGGAACGGACAGACTGGACGGAGACGGCTGACCACGGTCAACGCCTTCCGCGCCAGCGCGACGCCGCGCACGGAATTCGCCTGCGCACAGGCGATCGCCTGTGCACAGGAGGATGAAGTTCCGTGCCGGCGGAGAATCCGCCGAGGCTCCTGCCTGCGCACAGGCAGGAGTTGAACTTTTGTCCGACATGCGGACACACGCGTCAAGGCAGAGGGGGATTGGCCGAGGGGCGGTACGAACAAGTGTACCGCGCAAGGCGGAAAACTCGCCTTCGGCGCTACGCCCCCCATGTCCGCGGAGTAACACGCTCGCGGAGTTCAAATCCGCCAATTCGAGCGTGAGAGTTTAATCGACGACGGCGGAGCGTGAAGCCGCGCGTGAGAGCGAAGACCGTTCCAGCGTACAGCCGGCGCGGCCATCAAGTGAGACGTTCTTCACGAGCAAGAGCCGACCATGACCTTCGACCGAGCGGCGGAGAACGTCCCATTCTTGAATTCGCGATTCCAATCTCTTGTGCGCGCTGCGCGCATCCATCTGCTGGCTGCTGAACGTTCTCGACGTCGCCGCACAGGAGATTTCTTGTTGATTGAGGGAGAAGTGAATGCGCGTGATTTGGAATTGAGGGCGATTAGAGTTTGCCGAGAGAGAAAGAAGCTCGGGCGGTGCGGAAGTAGAATGAGCGGGCGAGCGAACCCCAGGAACGCAATGACGAGACCGAGCAGATTGCGGATGGTGCCACTTCGCCTACCACAAAACGGGCTGCGCGTGTTCGAGGAGCGCTTAATAGCAAGAAAGCTCGATTTCTTGCTATGGGGATGGAACTACATCTGTGCGAATATGGTGCGCGAGTGGCTAGAGCCACAGGGACCACCCTCGCGCGGATTGCGTCCGCATGTTGATCGGTGGACAGTCCAAGATTGGGCGCAGGCGTTGGGAAGATGTGCTGGCATGCCAGGGCATCTCCTTTTCGACAGTGAGAGCATCAAGGTGACCAAGCAGGAAGAGGCGCAATTTGTGGAGCTGTTCAAGACCGGGAGGTCTACCAAGAATGGGTACAGGACCCGTGATTACAAGGATCGATTTCGCCGGACTTTGTCCGCGGCGCTGATGCAATTACTGCAGCCGCACCGCGCCTGCTACATCACATTGTGGCAGGTTTCTTTTGTGGAGTGCGTCATCGAGGGAACTCCAATTCACTGGGCGAGCATCCTGCACAGGGTGATGCGACAGCACGCGTTTGAGGAGAAGGGGGGAACTCTAAACCATCTTTCTCCTTTCCTCATCAATTTTTATCGACAGCGGAATTGTTTGACAGCGGCGGAGCTTGAACATTTTCCGCCATTGTCCATCGACCATCCCGGGAAGTATGTGCGGGAGAATGAGGTCGACATTGATGCAGAGGAGTCACCGACTTCTACCCCATCAAGACGGAGGGACGAAGGGAGACACACTCCTGCAGCACGAGTGCCGCGGAAGCGGCGATGGAGGGAAGAGTCTGAAGAGGATCAGCATCAAGAACCCTCTGCTCCCATTCGACTGCGGCCGCTGTGCGAGCCATACAGCCGGCCGAAGCAGAAGGCAC